CTGTACAGTTATTCTTCAGTAAATAAACACATGTACAATGCAGTACACGTAATGGGTTAGTGATAATAAGATGTACAGATTCATGTCAATGGAATTGAACCAACATTTATTTCCATAATCCGATTACTTTGGTGAAACAATGTTAGAAAATGAAGTAATAAGTAAATAAATCTATTTAAAAAGGGATAGATATTAAGGAAAGAGCAATAAATTAAAAGGCAGTTATGGCGTGTATGGAGGCATGTTCCAAAGCCAGGGGTGTTGTGGTCTTGTGGAGATGCCTCAACCAATCAAACTGAACCAGCATACCTCAAATACAGAGCCAGACTTACGATCAGACAAACACAGATACAATACATATGGGATGAATTAGCAATATTGAAGGACAAACAAAATAGATAATGCCATTGATTAACCAATCATGCAACTACATGTAGTCATTAAATAAATGAAAACATAAATTAAATGTACACCAGTTAATAAATTTAAAAAAAAAAATTTGAAACTTGCAACTAAATTGTTGCTGAACAACACTTTCTTCTGAGTTTTTCTTTTGTGATAATTTTATGCATAACATTGTGTTAGACCTTTTCTTTCACATAACCTAAAACATAACCACTATATTTACCTAAAAGTACTTCAAGAAGCTTCCAATTTGCCTTAAAATATACCTTTGCTAATCAGTCTCCAACACAGCATAATATAATTTTGCAGCCATTTGGGGCAAATTGTCAGTACTTTATCAAGCAGATTTATATACAGCCTTTCATAAAGATTTTTCTTAGATTGAAAAAGTGCTCATTTTCTCAGATATTTTAAATTCTGTTTTAAAAAAAATGATTTTAGACAAAAACACTTTATAAGGAGCTTTCCTAATAATATTTACAGATTCCTTTAGTCATTTAAATTCTAGTTAGTTCATTTGAACTGAGTTTATGATTCCTTTCTACTGTGTGTCTTAAACCTGTTGAGCCAGGATGTTTTTGTAGAGTGTTGTCCAATTGAGTATGATTTCTCGTGGTAATGGGTTCGAATCCTGCATTGGTGGCTTTCAGTCTTTCATTTCTGTTTACGGTCAAGTTTCTGCATATCTTGAACAGGGCAAGATAAATGTATATTGTTCTTGTTGTAGGTTGAAACATAGGTACTAGGCTTATTGCAAGTTGTCTATTTTTGGTACTTACAGTCCATAATCACTTTTTAAAAGTGCAGCAGTGGTGCAGGTCGACTGCACATCGCAGAAAATGGTTCATCACAGGGGTAATCATGCCATTCCCCGTTTATCTGTACAATAGCACAGTCTTCATTAGCTCCCCAGCTACCGGTATTTGGTTGGTTTGCCGACCAATTCCTGTACTCCACCTCATCAGTACCATCCTGACACTTCCAAGTACCTGTCAAATATAAAGCAATGATATTTAAATAAACAGAGACGGGAATTGACAAACAAACAATTCTTCAAGGGAACCCAAACCCAACCCAATCCAACTCAATAACCTAGCTTAACTCAATCCAAGTTTAATTTTAAATTCCAACATTGTGTACAACCAACCTTCTTCCTGGAGATCATTGCAATCGATCCAAAACTTGGTTGGAAGTAACCCAACAAGGAGATCATTTTCCTCCTGAGACTGCGGCACGACCAAGACACTTCCCATCTTGATGCACTCATCTTTTGCCTCAGACCACATCAGAGGCTCCTTGGTGGCTTTGTAGCATTTGCCACCCCACTGGATCCAAGAACGAGGACACGCCCCTCGAGAAGCAGAGCACATCCCGCTGCTATCAGTGCATCTGATCATAAGACAAAAGGTTATCAAGCCAAAGATGAACCGTTTAGACACCATCATTTCTCGGTCGTTACTTAACTGGCGTCTGGTTCCGAAATGAAGTGACTGCATGTTACATTGAATCATCTTGTATAAAGCTCTTTCTCAATTTTTTTTTTTTTTTAATTATTTAATATCAGCCTTTTATCATTGGCAATATGTACTAGTGTAGTGTATTGACCAGAGGTAATAACAACAACCATTGTGACTCCTGTTGCCATGGTTATAACAAAGTCACAAAAGAAAAATGTAAAAAGGCTAAATGGTTCATTGATCACGGCAATCCGTTATTTAAATTAGTACAAGTTCACGCAAATTGCTGAATCTAAAAGACATTTAAAAAGATTAGTTCAAGTTTTTCTAAGAAGATAAATGTATTTTTTATTTCAATATCAAATCCGCAATTTATATGTCACACCACATTTCAGCATACATGCATGTAGATCTCAGCATATGTTGCAAATAATTTATCTTATATTTTCTAGGATAAATTAAATTCTTTTTCAAAACTAAACTCTAAGAAATTCATTTATGGGCATACATGTAAGTTAATAAGTCTTGGTATTTTTAACATAATGGCTACACTAGACATGAAAAAAATCCTAAACAAAATTTTTCAGATATATGTATGTTTTTAATGTAACAAATTTTATTTGATCGTTTGAACTGAGTTAATAATTCCTCTCATCATCTACATTGTACAAATGTATAGTGAATCTTTTTAGCCAGAAAATTTTGGTAGTGTTGTCAAGCAGATGGTGTGAGTTGTTGTGGCTACTACATTGTACACAGGGTGACCGTAAGGTCATGGCAAAATTCTGCTAAATGCGCTTCAAAAATCTGTCAGATTTATCAAAAATCTGCCAAATTCCCCAGATTTCTTCGAAATACACTAAAAACCCATAAAATCACATGCAGATTTGTAGTACCGTAATTTTCGGAATATAAGCCGCGCGGCGTATAAGCCGCAGCACGCAAAAATCTGCAAATTAAGATATGAAGTCGGCGTATAAGCCGCATCGGCGTATAAGCCGCACCAACCGCAGCGGTTCAATTTTGTAAGGCCTCCAAATTCTAGTCAAAATGCTCTGAACCAGTTCCATTTACACTACGAAAGCTATAAAAGGGCCACATAAGTTATGTCAGATCATTTACAGTCGATTACTCTTACAAACAAATATGGAAATTGATGATGAGAAATAAAAAACGGGAATTGCTGCCGGCGACTGACATTATTTTCCCCCAGCACTTGAGAGAGTATGCAACCCACCATGTGTTGTCTGACTGGAGCGCTACAAATCCTGCTTTGTGGCAACAGACACTGAGTTGTTTTGTCCTAAAGGATAAACAAGTCCGTTTTTACAGCAAAACTTATCAAATTGTTGTGATTACTAACGAGTAGTAACGTCAAACATTCAAGTTTGGATCGTAACTTTCTTCGAAAACAGTCAACACGATGCTGAGATTTTTATGGACGAATCCATTAATTTCGTAAGGGGTGATTTCACCCCTGTTTTGAGTTTTACATCGTTTCTTGAATACATTTCAAGAAAAAAAATTATATTGTGACGTTGAACAACTGATTATCAAATAAAGATATGTTTCAGACTCCATAAAAAGTATTAGTTGTCTTTTTTCTTTTTTTAAACAGGGGAAATATTGGTAATTATTGTTCCCAAGAAAGTACACCCCTTTATTACCACAAATGGTGTGGTCCATGGGGAATCCATGCAGCATGATGCATGCAGCATATGCAGCATCACGTGCGGCCGGTTGTCGATGTCCAAGGGACAGCTTTCACTAGCCGTACTTTTTACCGCTCGGTACCTTTTTGTGGGACGTGCTTTCGGTTTGTTAATGACTTTCTTAATTGATAATTATTTCAGCAACACATCTCTTCTTGTACCAGTACATTGAATACACATGTAAATTTCATTTTTATTCTTCAAGTCTCGGCGTATAAGCCGCCCTGTGTATAAGCCGCAGTAAACATTTTCATGGGCAAATTCAACGTATAAGCCGCGGCTTATATTCCGAAAATTACGGTACTGCCTTAATTAAGGTTCAAATTACATTATTAACAATTTATAGTCACATAAAGACGTTATGAAATTATTGCGTAAATTTCAGGCAAAACACGGTTGCGGCGTGATGTCCGGTTCCCAGTGAACCTCGGCGCCTAGATCTATAGACCAGCCAACCTGTCCCATCCAGGGTTTGTTTGAAAAGATTGAAGATTTTTTAAACGAATGTACCCTTCTTTTTTTTTAAATTTGCTATGGTTTTCTGTAAATAAACCATTTTTGCAGAATTCTGCGAGAAATCTGCCAAAAATATCCATTCTGTCAAATTTTCTGTCAAACTCGTTTTTTAACAAAACATCTGTCAAGGTTAGCCAAAAATCGGCCAAAACGGTCACCCTGATTGTACATGTAGTACATGTAATATGTACATTTTGTACATGTTAATTCCAATTGCATGGTTTCATCATGTACACACTTTCATACATGTGTAAATGTACCTTAATTTGAATTTAATAAATACCTTGGGAGAGTTGATAGCTTCTGATTATTCGAGAGGCAGATCACGTGGGGGTGTATTAACGGTGATATAAAGACTGGCTTAAAAAAAAACAAGCGAATAAATGGCCCCTTAACCAGCATTGATCCAGCATCATGTAAGCCAATGATTGGCCAAATATACAACAGTCTACAGTAGCAGTAACAATACAGCAGTACACATATGCTCAACCACCATCGTGTGAAGACCTACGCGCACATACATGTATGCAACACAGTTGCTATGCATGCGCGGAATAAGTCTAGTCTTCACATGACATTTTTGTAATCATGTTTACGCATAAGACAAAAGCGTGGATTTGCGCTTTATTTACTGTAAACACGTCACCCAAGGACATATTTACTTTTTCTAGACCAAGCATCTTTGTAATTCTGGATGCAAGAAATGCAAGAAATATGCAAGAAATATGTAATAAGATGCAAGAAATATGTAAACAAAATTCCAGCTTCCTCCGACAGGTAAAATATGAGGGAAAAAATTTGTTGTAATTTGTTTCACTATGGCAGCAGAAGTTTATACCCTGGATGTCAGTCATAACACAATGAAGACCGTACGCATTGAAGAGACGTTACATTTATTTTGTTTATCCAGCTAAGAGATACTGAGAAAACAGCGCAGGTGTCGGACTTGGAAGGTCCCAGGCCCAACGAGGAAAAGATGGTGTATGACTGGAGCGATGGCTTGGAGGAAACAGACGATTCCAATATTTACTTCTCCCCTGATCAAGGCAATGTCATCTTTGCAAGTGCTATCGATGGCTGGGGCTTTGGGTGAGTCCTAACTGTCCTCATTGTGAATCGGAGATCAGATCAGTTCAAATCTAATAGCCAGCGTTGTAGGACTCGAGTCACATTTTTTTCATGACTTGGACTCAACCCGAGTCACATTGGAAAATGACTCGGACTCGACCATGATGACTCGGACTCAAGCTTGGTGACTCGTGACTCGAGTCATGTATTTTCATCAAAAGAAAAACATAACATTACGTATTTGAGCGACGAACGTAGCATTGTTTTTTACTCCAAAAATCGTATAATGTTTGAAATATGTTTGGGTGATAAAATATGGAGGGAAGGGATGGAGGGAAGGGATGGAGGAGGGTTTTTAAGGATGTGAATTAAAAGGAAAACACAGTTTTGATTTACTGAAAAGACAGAATGGAGGATTGAAAATAATTGTAAAAAAAAAACTTATTAGTTTGGTGAACAACTAAGAACAAGTGACTCGAGACTCGGACTCGAGGCTTGTGACTCGAGACTCGGACTTGGACTCTAGGCTTGTGACTTCGGACTCGGACTCGACGTTGGTGACTCGACTACAACACTGCTTATAGCTAAACAAACTCATCCATAATTGAAAGATGGCCTCAAAGCCTTTTCTATTTGAGTTTAGCAAGCTTTCTAAATTACAGATTTTATCCTAAAACAGTTTTAATTAATGAGACATGACATGAGCAAAACTGGAAATAAAAACTGAGAAAAAAATTACACTTCATCAAAATTGTTTGTTTTATGTTAGTGATTGCTTACTTGAAATTTTTTTTTTTTACCCCAGAATTGACCATTTTGCTACCATGTACGCAGCCAAGCTGGGTGTGAGGGTTGAAATCCTTCGCAAGACACTCTGGGGAGATTTCTTCTTGAATGGCAAGACCAAACGGATCATGAAAGGGGCACAGGTAATGTTTGATGAAAACCTTATGTTATATATACGTTTAAGCTAAAAATCTTGGGTTTGTCAAAGAGTAATAAGGTGTTACAGATTTGTTAGTGCCTTATGTTCTGCACTTTAACCCTCCTATGCAATCGTACATTATATGCCAAGTAGTCAAAATCAATCAAGTGACTGTTTTCAACAGTTAAGAATTCCCAGCCTACACAAAGCAAGATTGACTGTTTCATGTTACAACTCGATACAGCTTTGCTTTGGCTGTGGGTAATTGATAAGCCAGCTGTGCCCACAACTTGCCAGCTGTGGCTGTTCATGGTCTGTTGACCGAGTTTGACTAGTCACAGTGCTTGCTTGACATAATGATCTGACTGCCGGTGACTAGCCTGTGTTAAAAGTATAGCAGGGGAAGTGGGTGGACATTTTGACTGTCTGTGACTGTTTAAATAGCAGGAAGGTGAAAATTTCTCAACTTTTCCTTAAGAGATTCTGGCATCATGAGCACCCATCCCAACCTACATTACTGCTACCAAGTATGATATTCTAGCACATCCCAAGTCCACTCACAAGTCCACTTACAAATACATGTAAATCACAAGTCATTTCAAGGTGATGGACAAAATAGAGGAATGCTTTTGTGATATCAGTCGAATAACTTGCAACTCGACTTGGGAATGAAGGACTAGTGATAAACTGTGAAGACTTGTGAGGAGTTGTGATGGACTCAACTACCAAACTGCATCCACATTGAAATTTGATTAAATTTGTTGTTGTTTTGCATTTTACTACAGGCGAAGGGGAAGAAGCCGCTATTTGTGCAGTTTATTCTTGAGAACCTGTGGTCCCTCTATGATACTGTGCTGGTCAAGAGGTAGGTCTTTTACAACTCTTTGCCTCTGGAAAATGAGCATCGGCTCTGAGAAAGCGATACAGGTTTCTTTTATTATTTGTTTTAAAAAAAAAAGAAATAAAGGAAATTCACCAAGGCTTGCTTGCATTTCAGTTGTTAGCTTTTAAGAATCACACATGTAGTAGATATTGAATGTGATACAGTAGGGTTATATGAGGAAACCCAGTAGGGTTTATTATGCAAATGATGATTTAAATTCAACAGTTTTCAAAAGTTCATTTTCTGTGGTCATAAAACCATGTAATTTTTATATTACTTGCATTGTATCTCACATCGTCCTTATGAAATTAAAATCAAGTACGTGTTGCTCGGAACTTGACCCTGAAATATGTTGTTAATATCAGCAGCCTTTCTTACAATGTCTTTAGTTTCCTTTCATCATGGAAACAAAGAACTTGTTTTCATAGTTTTAATGATAAAAGAGGAGGGGATGCTCTCTCATAAACAAGTGATTTTTTTTTTAATTTACATTTGTATTTTTGAAAATGCACTGGTCAGTTATGAACTTTTTCAGACCCCATGAACATAAAATGAAAGGAAATAAACTTCATAATTGTGCTCATTGCTTTCCTTGTGCGACTTGTTAGGGACAAGGAGAAAATGCTGAAGATTATTGACTCCTTGAACTTGAAGATTGCGGCCCGCGACCTACGACACAATGACCCCAAAGTGCATCTACAGGCAATCTGTGGACAGTGGCTGCCCCTGTCCCAAGCTGTGCTTTGTATCCTTTGAAGAAAAAGATTGAATTTCAGGTTTGGTTCTGTTGGCTCATGGCTCATTTAGGGCTGTGCATCGGAACCGGGTACCCGACCGTTAATGTCGGGAACTGGTTCTAGATTATGGGATCGGGTACCCGTAACCAACTTCTCAAAGTACTTAGTTACTTCTCAGACAAAGAAAAACAAATTTCACATTCATGATGCTCGCGAAAGCTGCAGTTTACACCTTAAAACTATAAAGCTCTCTGTACACACTTGTATCTTGCTGTATTGATGTGCTGATGCAGTAGTATGATCGTGTGGACCTTTGTAAACAATCTCAACAGCAACTTCCGGGATTTGAATTTGGGTATGTTTGGCGTTGGCTTTCTTAACGTCCTAGCCATTACGTTGGGATAAAGAACTGAGTATTACAGAATATTCAGTGGTGTGCACACTTATATGCTGAAGTAGTTCATTCTACAGTTTACTACTCGTAGTATTTTGTAGCGTTAGGTGAGGTGTGGGTTGACGGGTACCCGTGTTGTTTTTTTCATTTGGGTACCCGGCTCCTGTACTACGTGTAAATGCACACCCCTTAGTCTCATTTGCCAATATGGTTTTGTACAAAACGTATTCAATATAACACAATGATACCGTATTAATGTCAGTTGCAAATTTTCACGGATCTGTCTGCGACTGAGCAGCAACACTGTACACATACTCCTCTACTTTTCATGGGAGTTTTTCGAAAGCCTTCATAAGTTGAAATGGTTCCATATGTGATGCGATAAAGCTAAATGAGTCATTTGTCGACCCTTGTCAATTTGTGTTTTTTTACAGATTTGAAAAGAGCACAGTCTCAGCATTACTGCTGTGAAAACCGCATGCTGTTACCGTCTTTAGTTAAAAAGTTATGGAAGTTGGAACACCAAGAGATGTGATGAAGTGATGTGATGAAGTGGCCCTATTTTGGCCTGTATCTCCACATAAAAATTCCTGACAAATGACTCATTTAGCTTGATCGCATCACATGTATATGTATGCATGTTGAGCAACGGTTCACTAAAGGTTATGAAGCTATTGCACTTACAGCTGATGGAAATCTCTTGCTTATTTGGCGAAATGTTTCTAATGATTCCTTGACCACGAAACTGTGACCACACAGCCATGGTATGTCAGAAGTTACCCGGCCCATTGCAGGTGGATAGTGTGAGGATTGAGAAGCTCATGTGCGGTGGTGGCAGACGGTTTGACACGCTGCCCCCTCAATCACAGCAGCTGAAATCCGGTAAGATACTCGTACCTTCACCTATCCAGAGATGCTGTGCCATCATTTAAAGGGCTCATTCATTGTAATTGTTTTAATGCAATCCTTGAAAATACACCTTTGTGTCCTATTTAACCTGATTTTCAATTTTTCGTTTATGCTATTGCAAATTTCCATATTCGTGAGCAAAGTGTGATGTCACTTCAGTCAGAAACCTCAATGTTACAGCTATTTCAGCACCAAAAGTTGCCAGTATTTTGGATATTTAGCCGTCATAAATTTAGCTTCTTTTAAGGTGATTTGTTGTGTCAGGACATGGCAGTAAGCCAATGAGCAAACTTTTCTCACAAATGTTTCCAATGAGTAACTTTTGGGGTTCACAATTTGTACAGAAAACCCCTAAACTCTGAGCATTTTTTTTTTATTTCTAAATGTGTATTTTTTTTATTCTGTCATACAATAGTTTAATTCTGACAAGTGCAGGTGAGCACAAACTATAGCAAGATATCTTAAAATTAAAAAAAGAACGTAAAAAGTCCTATTAAATCTTGTGCATTTTGAATTTGCATTTATAGTGTTTTTTTTCTTCAAATGGCAGCCTTCCAAGAGTGCAGGAGTGAAGAGGATGTGCCGGTCATTGTCTACATCTCCAAGATGTTTGTCATTGATAACATGTCCCTGCCCCGAAACAAGCAAAGGTAAGCTGGGCTGTCCAACACCCCCTAATCACCTTAACCATCACTCATTCAAATATTCTATACCTGGCAACAATGGACAGTAAACATAAAATCCCGAGTTACGAAAACGTGTACAGGCCAAAAGAATTGGTCTCTCTCAAATGATGTCACTTCTTACAGATTGCCACGTGCATCGGCATTTTGGGTGTCAAATTTTCTTCATGACGTACTTGGCTGCACCGTATTTCAAAGAAATTTCGAGCAACACACTCGCATGTGTAGAACAGTTTGCAAACTGCGCATACATGCACCTGATTGTAATTTTTACAATTTGTTGTAATTTTCCTACAAAGAAGGCGTCCTATGAGAGAGATTTATAGACTATCCTGTCATTGAATTGTGAAATGGAATCCCAGGATGAATGTTAAGGGGGGGAATCATTTTGGTGACATTTTGAAGTCCCCAAAACTTTTACTGCATTTCTTTTTGGAACTTCTTGTGATAAGCTTAATCTGTTAGATCTTTCACTCAAGGGAATTTGGCCAATCAACACATTTGTTTGATAAAATCAGTAAGTTTCCAGAATATGAGATTTATGCCCATATTATTTATTATGCAGAATATTTTGCATGTGAAGTTTTGTTTTCATTGCTCTTGCTCAGGCCTCTGGGAGAGGAGGAGCTACTCCAGAGGCGGGAGGATGCCAGAAAAAGACACACCCTGAGGGTAGCCAATCAGCAACAGGATACCAAACTTGAGAACCAATCAGAAATGTCAAAAGGTAGTTACAAATGCGGTTTAACCTTGCCATTTAGACTGATATTCAATTGTACTACCTGATTAGAGTCGGCTGCAATACATATCAGAATTTTGTTTTAAGTTGAGACTCGGTGCTGGTCCAATTTGTGCACATACGTGTACATGCACCGTTGACCAAGGATGTTTTGTTTACTATAATCAGAAGTTTGTTGTAATTGTGTTTGTATTAAAGGTACAGTCCATCATTTGTAATTTGTGGTTTTTGTTCGTTTGAAGCAACAAACGTGCTCAGAATCTTAACAAGGGTGCTAAAATTTAACCTGATGAAGTTTCAGCTCAGCTTCAGCTGTATATTTCAACAACAAAAAAACATTCTAGGATCTCGATTTCAAATCAAAAGTTGCTGAATCATGTTTTGAATTGGGCCTGAATTCAGCATCCGAGACATGTTCTCTCTGAGCCGATTGCAGCTACGCGATGTCGCACACTGAACCAACAAATTAAAGCAACCGTGTGCATCTTGTCAACGCGTGTGCACTTCGCCGAATAAAAAAATAAGAACTTCAACGGAAATTTCTAACGGTGCGTCTTTAGACTCATCGTTGGAAAGGCCTTCTTTCGTTGATTTCTTCAAAATGACAGCATGCCAGAAAGAATAATTTCACAGGGAGTTTAGTCCCCTTACTATCTTTCAACCAAGTGTGTTTTTCAACAACAATTACGTCAGTTACTTTTTGGATAGCTGCAAATGATGGACTGTAGCTTTAACGAGAGTGAATTGTAATGCAGTATAGTTGGGCAATGGGAAAGGACTTAACTATAAACATTTGGGATACTAGTTTACATGTAATGACTTTTGGTACTTATATCACTAGAATCTTTAGAGACTGGTACGATACTACTCAGCGAAACAACATCTGAAGAAAAGGCGGAGGAAGAAGGAGAGACCTTTTTAGCATTTGCCAGAGTCTTCAGCGGACGGATACGCAAAGGCCAGAAGCTGTACGTCCTCAGTCCGAAACATGATCCAATGAAAGCATTGAACAGGGTATGTACAAGTAGTTGTCACTGTGAAGTATTCTCGCATGTCGTTACCTAAATTATCGAGGGGCACATTGTCCCTTCAAGCTTGCCTACAAACGTGGGGCCTGTTGATTTGTGCAATTTGCATTTTATGATAATCATTACAAGTTACGATGCTACGTCATATCCTATCCCTGCAACGCATTGCGGCTGTGATGCAATCTGTGAACCATTTTATAATACTCGTACAATTACAAAGTATTACCATGTTTTACGCACAGCTAATAGTTGTCTTATATTCAGCAGAGAATCACGGAATCCGCTCTCAAATTTGTTTCAGAGTGTATACAAATATGGAAGTTATCGTGGTTTGCAAGAAAAACAAGCCCACGTTGGACTGTTAGGCCAAAAAAAAAAATATTCGGTCTCTGGTCAGACCAAAGTTCCGGAATTGACGTGGGGACGCGGCTTTTTTTTTTTTTTTTTTTTTTTTTTCTTCAAGCTTGGATTGTACAGACAAGGTGGGGTACTATTTTGCTTTTTTTGTGTCCTCATGTACATTGATGTCCTCCATAATTTGCCTTGGTGCTCTCGATCATTTGCCTTGGTGCAATTTCCCATTCCTTGGTGCTCTTTGGTAAAAAAAAATTGAGGAGGTGCGGAAATAGAGGGCGCTGTTGGAGCTACCGCGGAACATTTTGGGAAAAAAAAAGATTGACGCGCATGATTAAAATCGACGCGCGCGCTGACCAGAGACCGCCTTTTTTTTTTTTGGCCTTATCTAGTTTAAATTTTCAGCTGTAAATGGGCTTTATTGGTGTCCTGTTTGAATTTGCAGGAGAACGGTGCTTTAGGAGACCAAACAGTGAATGAGTTATCTGGGCACAGTCTGACTGAGTTTGAAGTGAAGGACCTGTATTTACTAATGGGCAGGGAGCTGGAGCCAATGGAGAGTGTACCAGCAGGAAATGTGTTAGGTCAGTTGAGTGATGTTAAGCACCTGAGTTGTATTACCCAAGTGCTGGACCGAAGTCCCAGTATCGGTGACTCAGACTCGAGTCACATTGACAAAAGACTCGGACTGTGACTATAGTTACTCGGACTTGACACTGGGCACTCGTTACTCACAAGTCACATATTATTTACCAGCGACACAGTTTTCAAAAGTATTTTACACAAAATTCCAATTTTTATTTTTTGGTCACAGTGGTGAGGAATATTTAAGCTCCATACATGTTTGTAAGTGCTTAAAGTATGTGACTGCTTTACTGTGGTGGTACAAAGAATGAAGTTTCCTATAATTGTGCTTATCCGGTCATTGCTACCCAGGAAATTACTTGTGTGTATATATCAAACACTTGACTCGTAACTCGACTCCACAAAGTGAAGTGTAAAGTAGACTTTGACTTGTACAAAGTGACTTGAGACTCTGACCTGGACTTAAGTGAGGGGACTGAAATTCTAATAACAGGAAGCGCCGTTATTCGACCCTCAGGAAAGGTGCATCATCATGACATTTGGTCTTTCCCATGCCCAGTACAGGGTGTATTGAAGTTATTGGGGAAGGTCGATAAGCCTGTGTACTAATGACGTCACACTTTGTTTACGTGTGTGCTTTCCTATGGTGCTCAGTGGACCGTGGGCCCCCACTGGCTCCATAGGAAATTGCACATGTAAACAAAGAGCGATGTCATTAGTACAGAGGCTTATTGTGCTCATTTTTATGACCACAAAACTTACCTGGTTCAGGCACTTGTGGCCAAGTTTACCATCAATGGAACACCCACTCTGTATTCACAGGTACCCGTACAACCACTAGGCAATTCCACTAGGAATGCAACTTAGAGTTAACACATCACCTGTACTACATTGTATACCATTGTATTTGACGAACCCATAAAACTGTACAGAGCTGGGGCGGTGTTGGGCAGTAGAGGGATTAGCACCACACCCAAGGGCGTAACCATCATAGCAGAATTGGCAATTCCCTCCCAAACAATAAGACCCAGATCTCTGACAATCAGCCACCCTTCCAGGAATACAATCGGACAGCTTCTCTTATTTGTTTATAGGTATTGGAGGGTTGGAGGACCTGGTTTTAAAATCAGCCACCTTGTCCAGCACGGTAGCCTGCCCAGCTTTCACCTCCATGACCTTCGCTGCTGCACCAATTGTCAGAGTTGCTGTGGAACCCAAACACTTGGGTAGGTTTTGATGCATCACTATGTCTCTAATTGTAAGCCACTTCAGTATTTCTTTCCAGGAGAATGATGTTGTTCATGGCAAAAGTCATTCAAGATAAAAGAATCTGACAACGAACATGTACCAAAGGTTGCTGCTTACTTTACAATTTGTTAAATGTGGCGCGAACCAAAATAAATTGCAGAAAGTGTAACAAAACAACCAATTTGAATTTGTTGTCATTTAACACGTTGGTAGTCCGAGTCCCACTTTTGAATGTTTAGTTACGGTGTGATTGCTGAAAAAGTTTGAATTATTTGTAGCCGGACAATAACTCAGTTCTTGCAGGGTGGACTGGTTCCCTCCTCTCTTTCAAAATCAATAGTGAAGGGACCCGGAAACCAGCCTACTTGCAGAGCGTATCTGTTTGCACGCAAAAGCAACCCCAAATAAAAGTATGGGTTTTTTTCCAGAGGGTTACGGATGTCCAAATGGGGGAAAAAAGGCCAGAGGACATGTAAACACAATCTGGCAATGTACCGGTATATTCACAGGGTTAAATTGTCAAGCTTTCCCTGAGTCGCCGGCGGTGGACGTGTATACACGTCAGCGGTCCCCATTGTAATTTGTTGTTGTACACACCGTGTGTTGAACTTGAACTTGGCTGCTGTATATGACCTGTTGTTGTAGCAAATATTGCTCTGTGGCGGGGCCGCGGGATGTTGCAAAATATGAAGTTACGGTGAGAAGTATCGTACAAAATATTGACTCTCAAGGATCAGAATTTGTGGTGTTTGACTTAAATGAAAATGTTGGCCTATATATATTGGGGGTTTTTTCAAAAATGGTGTTTTTTGGGGGCCAAAAATAATCCCGTCAAGTGGTTAAAATAAAACATACATGAAATTTGTTGGGAGAGAAAATGGAACTTTGTGAAAGAGCACAGATGGTACATGTTGGATAATGTACCGTCTTTGCTTTGTGTTGTAGCTGACATGCCTGCTCTAGTGATGGGAATGAAGCTGTTGAACCAGGCGGATCCCTGCGTGGAAGTCTTGGTGCAAGAAACCGGGGAACATGTCATAGTGGCCGCCGGTGAGGTCCACCTGGAACGTTGCCTTGACGACCTGAGAGAGAGGTATAGACCATCTTACCTATTATGACAAATCAACAGGCAACCCACACACGTGGGTATCTTTTGCATGTTATTTTGCTCACCTTAAACATGTCAACACTTTTAAGCCACCCAGAGATAAACATGCAGTGCAAAAAGGAACACCAGTTCACTGAAAGTTGGCATCACATGGCCACAACATCTAATTGTTTAACGAAAGTATGATATTGTCTATAGAAGGTTGCTTCTGAAATATTAAACACTATTCTGTTTGATGGAATTTTGCATTTAGGGAGATGCAAATTAAATAGTGGGTTTTGTATAATCAGTGCTGTGGGAGAGTTTTCTTGAAAGAAAAACATTCACAAGCTTGTTGGGCTGGGACTTGAGCTCAAACTTGTGAAGATGTTGGCTAGCAGGTTCGAAATAATTTTTTTTTTATTCAGTCATGAAGAGAAAGGTAGAAAGGAGTTGCAAGAAATTAGACCTTTGCAACTGGAAATGGTATAGTTAAAATCCGGCCAGAAAATTTTGTAGGGTAAAAAGAATGTGCGCAAACTTGAACTGTATAATAATAAAAATAATAATATATAGTGCTTATATAACGTTTTAAACCAAAGGTCTCAAAGCACTTCACAATTGTTACCCCTGTTCATCAGGCCATGAGACCAGTTTCTGCAGCAGCTCAAGATCAGTGCATTCTGGTCTCTACCTTCACAGGTACCCATTTATACTCCTGGGTGGAGAGAGGCAATTGTAGTAAAGTGTCTTGCCCAAGAACACAAGCACCATGTTCCCCGTCCGGGTTCGAACCAACGGCACTATATACAAGTGCCATGAGAAGACTGACCTTATTTTTTGTTTTATGCCTCATGATTATGTGCATTCTGCCCCTAAATGTGGACTTGTGTTTAGGTCACGTTATTTCCCACTTTGGCAAAGAATTTTAAAACTGGTTTTCAGTTGTCCCCAGCCCCGTGAAAATGTTTTAAACTCAGTTCCTAAAACATCAAATACCTTTGCATTTTACAAGCCACACCCAGCAAACCATTTTTAACATGTGATAAATGCTCTTACACAACCATGAGGATTTTGTTGCTCTTTTTGCGGGCTATAATGCAGAAATATATAGTTTCAGTGTGTGAATTTTGTCTATGTTTGTTAAGATTTGCCAAGATTGAGATCAACGTGTCCGAGCCAATTGTTCCATTCCGAGAAACAATCATCATTCCCCCCAAGATTGACATGGTGAATGAGGCTATTGATGACATCAATCAGGTAAACGATGAACTGCCTTTAAATAGTCAAATACAAAATCAGGAATCTACGTTGATAATTTGTTGACAGTTGTTCGTAGTCTATCTAGACCTTTACTAAACTAAACTTCCTGTCATGGGCTTTTCTGAACATATATTCATGGTGTCTTGGTTCTTTGAGGGTGTCACTTGTATGCTATTTGTATTTGTCACGTTTTAAGGACTTGTGGAACAACATGTTGACAGTGAAAATATGTGCCTGACTGTTGGATTGCTTGGTACCAAAAATAAAGCTTTACCTAAACAGCCTAAAATTCCGATATCCATTTCTGTACGGCAATCAGACTCAATTGGCTGCAAAATCAAGAATCAACTAGAATGTGTTTTTAAAAACAGGTGTGTCACTTTACATACTCTACACTGCATCATTTTCCCCAGTTCCCTTGACGCATGTCGCACAACAAATTCTCTTTCCATAAAAATGTGACTGGAGCCCATCTGATCTTGACTTTTCAGTCATGTGATCTTTACTTTTCAGCACCTTATCTTATGGACCTTAAGAAGAGGCCAAGTTTGCGCAATTACTATAGTTGACCAATGGTTAACCATAGTTCGACTAACGCTTGCCTGAACTCTGTCTTGTCGACGGTGGTTGACTACGCTAGTCGACTATTTGGAACCAACCTTCTGGGGCTGGTTGCATCGCTGGTAACCAATAGCCGCGCGCATTCATAACGCTAGCAGGGAGCCAGGATTTTAGAAGTTTTGCGATAACATTTCGACCAGCGTTCGACTAGAGACGTTCGCACGTTGCTATTACTGCGCAGGCGTAAGGTAACCTTGCCCGAACTTGACCTTATGTGACTAGTGACTACTTATGCCCAACATATGCAGTTTCCGATACAGTTTGTAAATTATTTTACCTGCAAAACAGATCCAGCGCACTAGATCCAACATCAGCGAGCTGGAGAGTGAGATATCCAAAGATGGATCTCTGGACATCAAGACCTCCAACAAGCTGAGCGCGTTCAAGCTCAGGGCATGCCCCTTACCCGAGGAGGTGACCACCCTCTTGGAGGAGAACACGGAATTGATGAGGATCCTAGACCAAGCTTCAGTGGCATGGCTGTCCAGCAGAACCAGTGAGCAGGACACCAGCGACAGACTGACATGCGAGGTTTTGTCCCAGCTGCAGGAGTTTCGGAAGCGTCTGGATGCAGCATTCACAAACGCTGGGAAGAGATGGCGCGGGGCCACCGACCAGATATGGTCCTTTGGCCCAAAGCGGTGCGGCCCAAACATGTTGCTAAACCGCATCAGCGGGTACAAGCGGCCGTCAATATGGCAGTGCTTGGACGAGGAGGGAACCGTGGGGTCGACTGTTCTCAGGGAGTTTGACGGCAGTGTGGTGAGTGGATTCCAGTTAGCTACCTTCGCAGGACCTCTGTGTGAGGAACCAATGATGGGGGTGTGCTTTGCAATTGAAAACTGGACCTTGGAGGAGCAATCAAACGGTGGAAAGTTCTTCAGCACTGCACAGAAAACAGGTGTAGACTTAAACGCAGACAATCAAAGTATACTCGATTCAAACAAAGGTCCAAGATCTGAAAATGTTTCTGTACCCAACAGCACCGATTCAGAACCTTACATTGCAACAGTTCCTCTTGATGTTGGATACCCTTCCCCGTTAGTTCTTGCTAAAAGTCCAACATCTGATCGCAGTTCACCGTCGGTTGGATCTCCAGATGTCACCAGCCCTCTGCCACAGTTTGTGGGTCGAGGGTATGGCCCTCTGTCCGGTCAGATCATATCAACTGTGAAGGAGGGATGCCGTATAGCCTTCCAGATTCAGCCCCAGAGACTCATAGCAGCAATGTACAAGTGTGATATCCAGGCGACTGCAGATGTACTGGGTAGGTGATCAGTAGGCCTAAGGCCGAGATCGTTTACCATAATTACGGTAACTGTGAAAGGAGGGGATCTGAAATTTTGAAGGCAGATAGGATCATTTGCATTTAACCTAATTTATTATTACTTCTGGTACTAAAACCAAGGATTCCCCAAATAGCGCCCTAGGCACTGTAAGCTCGAAAGCCTGAACAAACCTGTAGAGGGAAGTGAATGAGAAGAAATTACAGTTTTAAAGGTGGAAGGAAAAACCCAGAAGAATATTCTGGGGAAAACCCACGGAATCAGGCAGACATTAAAAAAAAATCCATCTATTGGCCCGTGCGGGATTCAAACCAGGTCACAGCGGCTAGGCGAGGAAAGTATCACTACACCAACCTGACTCCCCGACTCAACCTGACCTAGCAGTAACCTACTGAGTTGTCATCAAAAACCTTACCTGGATTAAAGATTGTACTGGTACTTAACACCCCATGAAATTATTCCGTCTGGCTTGCTGTCATTTTAGAAGAAATCTGACTGGTTTGTGGAACTAAAGAGTGCCATCGACAAAATTGTGTTTCGAGATCAAAAGATTGTGCATCGGTTTTTACCGTTTTCTTGAATAATAATATCTTACTGGGCTGAATCGTCAAAAGGTTTGGTTTTGAACATTCTTCTTAGGATTTTGAGGGGAAAAAATGGAAACGAAAAAAATGCAAGAAAAGCAAATGATCATATTTGCCTTAAACAAAAATCCAAAACTCAAAAACACTTTATCAACTTATCTGGCAAACTAAATTTGAAGCCATTTTTTAGAAGGAACCACGCAATGAATGTTGCAAGCATTCTTTAAGTTGAGAGCGCCTTACTACAATTCACTGTACTTTTAATTTAGGTCGTGTGTACGGAGTGGTATCCCGGAGAGATGGCAGCATACTGCGTGAGGAGATGCGCGAGGGCTCGGCAGTGTTTGACATCACCGCCACCCTGCCTGTTGCCGAGAGCTTTGGCTTTGCAGAGGAGATTCGCAAGCGGACCAGTGGGCTGGCCAGCCCCCAGCTATTCTTCAGTCATTGGCAGGTGAGAAATTCATCAGTATGTAGTTGATATGGCCTCCATGCACGAGTGCCCCATCAAATGCAAACAGCGATTTTAATTAAAGACACTTTTCCTGCTCGACCGAAAATTCATGTGTCCATCATGCATTAGGCGTTGTGTGTAGTGCATGATGCGTAAAAATCAGTTGTTTGAAAAGCATCGCGCGCATGCATCTAGGTATCCAAATAGCTTATTGTGTAATCTGTATTGCGTTACAATTTTTGATTGAATTTTTTGCTCTCAAGGTAGAAATTGAAACGGATGACACATCCAACATGTTCAAAACCCATATTTTGTTGTGTGTGTCCAAATTTAATAAAAGGATGTATTGGTGGAGTGAAAAGATAAACATTAATGCTAGGCCAAAAAAAAGGCAGTTTGTAGTTAGGGCATGTAGTGGATGAAAAAGTTTGAAACAGGTTAATTATTTTGTAGCTTTGCAAAAGCATGGTGCAAGTTAAGCACAGATGTCATTTCCAAAAGCACTGCAAGAGCTGATGCTATGGACTGCATCGTTAGAAGACAAAATATAATGCAGGGATTGCTAACCAGCCTTCTCATATTTTTGGCAAATCTTCATGCTCATAAATTCCCATATAACTACATTATATATAACTGCTATAGGCCCCAAAAAAGTCTCCAGTTTCTGGTATGGAGCTTGCCCCAGAAGTGGTGCGGCGACGCGTTTTTTTTTTTTTTTCCCTCTACTTTTTTTTCTTCAAATGTCGGCTGATGTTGCAGATGAAGCTTCGATCCCCATAAAACTCTCAAAAATATCCTTCAGGGTGGAGCTTAAGATGACCTTAGTAAGGCCATAAGGCTTGAGAATTCTGCACCCACTTACGATCTCGTCCGACACGAACATTCTTCGGGAAATGTGGATAGTCAAGACAAAATCAGAGAAAACGGTAACGTCGGACAATACACTACAGCGACATCGACATCGTGATGTTCGTGCATGAGCTGCTAGGCTTGTCATTAGTTTGCTCCCTCACATATTGCGCTAATTAGAAAGCGTTTACAGGTTCCAGATACACGACCATCGCTCCCTCAGTCTGGCTTCCAGACGCACAATTACAAAATTACAACACCGTCTGCAAATGGTGCCTGACTAAATTTAGTGCAAAACATATTGGAGCCAAGAGAGGCAACATTAAGCTTTTACTCGATCGTAACCCCATCTTAAAACATGTTAAAATTGTGCAGCAGCAGGATCCCAGTCAAACCAGTGAGTTTGGCGGTTTTGAAACATCATCTTACATTGAGAAAAAAACTTTTTAATTTTGCCGATGCGCAAGGCTTTGGCGACACGAATACCAGAAACCGGAGACTTTTTTTTGTGGCCATATCTACATACCTCTATAACACATAGTTCCTTGTGTGGCTCCCCTCCATCATTTTGTGCCATCACACCTTGAGATTAAAATCAATCTTTTAATTGGTGAATACTGGTCTTCCTTCTTGTTTCTCCTCCACCTCACACCCCCACCTCACATACCCCGCATCACACCCCCACCCATCCCCATGCAGGTGGTTCCTAGTGACCCTTTCTGGGAGCCCTCCACAGAGGAAGAGCTGCTTCATTTTGGAGACAAGGCGGAAAACGAAAACCAGGCGCTCAAGTACATGAACGGAATTCGTCGTCGCAAGGGGCTGTACATCGACAAGAAGACAGTGGAACATGCTGAAAAACAAAGGACTTTGTCCAAGAACAAGTAGACTTTAGTACTTGAGGACCTCCAAGGCTGTGTTTGGCCAAGCGATGATCCTTCTAATTATATCAGGCCTTGTTAAACGTCACTCCTTCTTACCAAAAGCTGTTTTATGTCAAGTCATTCCTGTCGGCAATGTTCTATATTTCTTAAAAATAAAAGAAACAAGCTTTTACTTTTCGTTAAGCATGCATTTGTGGCTGATAAATCTGAATTCTCATAGGAAGCAGCTTACAATGCCCCTTACTTGAAGCCAGACAGTCAGAAGTTATTTATTTCAGATGGTAAACTATTGTTGCACCACATCCAATGTCTCACACAAATATGAAAATATTCAGTTCTGTATTGGTTTGCAGGATGTGATATGAAAAGTCCTCTGGAAACAGAGCAGTATATCCTAAATGCAGTATCCAAGATTTATTTTTCCTTCAAAAGAGTATTGGATCAACAATATCTAGAAATTGATAATCTTTCATTATTTTTTTCCCCTTTGACTCCAAGCACCTCCAAATTTTGTAAACAGGGGAAAAAAACAAATGTACCATTTACTTTACCTTACCACTTACTTTGTAATTCTTGTGGTTGAAAAGAAGTAAATACAATGTGACTTGTCACAGTATGTATATTTTGTCCTATATTTGGTGCCATTTGTTTTCATTGCTGCTTGTTCTGTATGTTGTTTCGTCTGAAAAGGTTCCTCCAAAGTAGGGGGAAATCTGTGGCGAGTGGACAGTGGGGAAATCTTCAGTATGAAATGTTCAGTTGTAGGATATCTCAAAGCAAAATTTCAGGAGAATCGTATCACACAAAACGTTGGAGTTTGGAACTGAGATATTATTAGTTATCCCGCGAGCGCGAGTGGAACACGGAATAATGTAGTGCGTCGGTGTCCCACATACCATGAGGCCGAAGGCCGAGTGGTATGTGGGACACAGACGCACTACATCGTGTTCCGCGAGCGTGATAACGAATTTATCTTCAAGCAAACTTGACGCGCAGTAAAGTTGGACCATCGCTTTACACGAACCTTTTAGCGGTTTAGCGCAAGCAGCTGGAATGTCGCTCACATCTTCGAATAGTCCATAGCAGAGTGCACATGTAAAACAAAGTGGGACATCATCAGTACAGAGGCTTAGTTTCTACAGGGTGAAACACAAGATATTCCCATTCAGTACAATGCTTCTCCTCTACAAAGCCTTTTTGTGATCCCTGTTTGCAGTAACACACATGGCCCTTGAGTATTTGGCAACTGTTTTCGGTTTGGTCTTGTAATTATAATAACAGTTTGGTTACATTGTGGCATCCACAATGCTTCCTGGCGCAGGCTGTAAGGTAAGACCTGATAGATTATACATGTACTTGACAATGACATAGTCCTAAAAAAAACTCATTGGATGATGGATAACTCAAGCAGGCGCAAGTACAAGCAAAACTCCGTGCTGCTCTCGAGAAAGCCTTGTCGCTTGTCTGACCATGGAGAATTTCTCCATGGTCTGACAGCCCATGCGCACCCCCCCCCCCCCCCCAAAAAAACTCGACAAAAGCAATACATTTATACCCCCTCCCCTTGCTTGTTCATATAATATTTGGCGCGGAGAATTTTGGACCCACTTTGTTGGGAACAAAAAAATGTTAGGCCTCCCCAAAAATTGTGTTCCGGATCTGGCCTTGGCCAGGGCTCTATATGTGACCATGATATTTTTTTTTTGGGGGGGGGGGGGGCAATTACTGTTAACCTGTTAACCATGGTCGCTTACAGGACAAACACATTTCTAGTGGGGCGGCGACAATTTTAAGGGGGGGGGGGTGCTGCCAATAAATGAAATTGCATTGCATGCTTATAGAGCAAGCATTCGGTCAAAGTTGATGATTAGTCATTTGCTTGTACAACCTTCGGGTTACCGAAGGCACGATAGAATGAGGAGCCCTCAGCATGGGCGTCGCGAGGGGGGGGGGGGGGGGGGGGGGGGGGGGCAAGGGGGCGGGGGGGGGGGGCAAGGGGGCACTTGCCCCCCCCCCCCCCCCCCCCCGAAAAAGCAACCCAAAAAAAAGAGGCGCGAAGTCATAGTGGTGTAAATTTAATGGTGGGGGAGGGGGGCAAAATGTCCCTGCCCCCCTCTAAAACTGATTAATCGAGAATGTGTTGATAATACAGGCATTTTTTTGGCACAAATATGTTTTGCCCCCCTCTAGAAAAAATCCTGGCGACGCCCATGGCCCTCAGTAATAGTCAGAATCTGCAGGTCAACTTGATGAAGACGCAGTTTTGTTTTGCATAAGGTTCTAACCACCCCCAACCCACAATATTTTTGAGTGCTCTTTTTTTCACGAGTGTCATTGTTTCATAAGGGTACTCGTGGAAAAACGCCACTCATGCAAAATCAAAACTTTTGCAAAAAAAGGGCACTCGTGAAAAAGGACACTCGTGATAAAAAGGGCGCTCATCAAAACTGGTGCTTGTTAAAAAAAAAAAAAGGCGCTCGGGAAAAAGGGCATTCGTGACTCGTAAAAAAAGGCGCTCGTAAACAAAAGAGCACTGGTACAAAAATAGACTCTCGTGAAATAAATGGCACTGGTGGAAGAAAAAGGGCACTCCAAAAACGGCACTCCTGAAAAAAGGGGCGCCATAAAAAAAAAAGGTGCTCGTGAAAAAAAAAGCGTTCGTAAAAAAAAGACCACTGGTACAAAAATGGAGCTCGTAAAATAAATGGCACTGGTGGGAAAAAAGACGCTCTTTGAAAAGGGCACTCCAAAAAGGCCACTCATGAAAAAAAGGGCGCTCATGAAAAAAGGGCGCTCGTGAAAAAAAAAGCGCTCATGAAAAAGTGGAGCTCGTGAAATAAATGGCACTGGTGGAAAAAAAGGGCGCTTCCGAAAAAAAAGACGCTCATGAAAAATGGCACTCGTGAAAAAAGGGACACTCTTGAAAAAAAAGGCACTCGTGAAAGAAAGGGCGCCCGAGGGGGGTATTGTGAACTTAAAAAAAAAGAAGGGCATATTTCGTAGAAAAAAAAAAAAAATTATCGAACGCCCTTTTTCACGAGCGCCCTTCTTTATTTTACGAGTGACTCTTGTTCACGTGCGTCCTTTTGTTTTCATATCTCCCCGGCCCCCGCGCTTTTTGATTTTACGGAGGCCGGTGACTTTGAGAACAAAAAATGTATCAGGCAAGTGCCCTTTTTCACGTCTACCCCCCCCCCCCCCCCCAAGAAATGACCTTGCTACGCCCTGCCTTATGAAGAACTTCTGCAAGCCCTGTACTCGCTAGAAACAATTAAAGACGTGTAAGAGTGCTTTGAAAAAAACCCTTTTAAGCCAGCGCTGTTAAAATGATTTGATAAATTTTAATTAAGACGGCAATATAAACACCGGGTCACACTCTGAAGCTCTTCAAACCAAGAACATTGGTTGCAGGAAGAGCTCCTCCCAAGTCACTAATGTCATGGAATGCTCTCCCTCAAAAATGCCAAAGCTGTACAACTTCATCATGATCATGTAAAAAATTGGAAGAAATATGGGATGGGGTCGCCAAGAAAGGCAGTGCCTCATCAGTGTAAGTGAATTACCGTATAATGGCGCCCTCTATTGGCCACATTTTCCACCATAAAAAAAAGGTTATTTTAGTCTGGTACCATTCCTATTTTGCTTTCGGTTACACCTAGTTTCACACAAAATTGGCACATTGCCTAAGGCTACCATACAGGTGTAAAATTCATTGATTCCTACTAAAAATTTCTAAATTTCCAATGGAGCTTGTGTCGACGTGATTTTTTTCCAGCCAAATTCTGGTCCAAAATGGCTGGCTGGGGTCGAGAGATTGTCACTTTGCAGTGTGGTCATTACTCCAACTTTGTTGGTACCCACATCTGGAATATTCAGGTAGGTAGGCGTCGAATTGAAAGGCCTGTCTTTTTTTCCCGAATAGCCCTAGCTTGAGTAACTCCAGCTGACATGCTCATCATAATCCATATGTATTCATTCACATGTAGCCTGGAGACATAACCTAGCTGTGAGAGTGTGGTAGCAAGAGACCCTAAAATCATGGCCTCTCAAAAATTGTCCATTTTCACCTCTTATATCCCACCCCAGATTTCATTTTTACCTCATACATTCAGCAGTCATTCACGAAGCTAATGATGACATGAATGATCGACTTGAAACAGACCACAAAAAAAAACCAAATGTGAAAAATCTTGACAATTGCGGGGCTTTGGGAAAGCAAGACAACGAGAATGTGATCCACGTCAACGCACCAGACGAAAACTGAACCCACTTGCGGCGCCTGAAAGTGGTGTGGTACCCACATACATTGCGCGCGCAGATGTTTTTTCGATGTCATCACGTGATGCATGCATTTACATAATTAACCAAACAAAATGGACGACAGCCGTTGGAACTGGACATTTTTTTATGGACAAGCCACCGAAATCGTCAAGATTTTTCACATTTGTTTTTTGTGGTCTGTTTTATGTCGATTATTAGCTTCGTGAATGACTGCTGAATGTATGAGGTATGTAAATGAAATCTGGGGTGGGATATTAGAGGTGAATATTGACAATTTTTGAGAGGCCATTTTTTTAGGGTCTCTTGCTACCACACTCTCACCACTAGGTTATGTCTCCAGCGCTACATGTGAATGAATATGAGCATGTCAGCTGCAGTAACTCAAGCTAGGGCGATAGTAGAGTCCTAGGTACGTAGCCGTATTGCGTGACTAATAATGTTTTTTTTGCCATTTTCACTCGTACCCCCGATCAAAATCTTTAGATTTCACCCCTAGAACAGTCTTCAAACTGCCTTATGCGCCCCCTGTAGGCTTCAGTGGGAATTGGAAATACAAATGGTGGTGGTTAGGTTTACATACCTTTGGGAAGAAAAGAGAAATTTCACCTTCAATTCTGGAAACATCCGTGTCACAAACGCCTTGTTTGAGGCTGCCATTTTGAATTCAGGAAAAGTAGTCTTGTGCATGGCTCTGGCTAGACTGTTTCCTGGCAAGCATCAGACAGACCAATCAGGCATGTCAGGTGGTTTCCACTGCGCGTGCGTCAACTTCACCAAAGTGCATCGATGGCAGTTACCTGTCACTCATTTGTGGTCAACAGTGTACGCATGCAGGTGTATTTCAGACCGATGAATACTGAATGACAGAATTATTTTTGTTTAAATAAACATTTAAATGTGTAAACATCACATCTTTACTTCTGACTAGAAGAAAGATAACAAAGACATTCAAAGTTTTGGAGTTGGCCAAGAGAGCGTTAACCCTAACTCCCTAGGCCTTTTTGCTGGATGTAGCCTCAATCCTGCAAAATCCTCTAATTGACCTCATGAAAAACAGCATATCACCTCAATCCTGCAGATTCCTCCATTATTTCTTGAATATGGTCCATGGAGGGGTGACCACTGCCTGAATCCTGCAAAATCCTCCGGTTATGACTGTCAATAGGTCGAGGCAGAGGCAGTGACATCCTGGAGCAGTGCGGAGGATGTCAAGTGTAATCAAGGACTAAACTTATGCTAGGCTGAGTATATATACAACACAAGGTCCGGCCCAAGACCTTGACACAGTGCGTCCTCCGAAATCAGCAACGCACTTTTGCCATGTAACCTCAATCCTGCAAATTCCTCCAATTTGCAAAAAGGATTTTGGAGGATTTGGGATGGTGAGGGTTAACGAGCACAGGGAGATGGGCGCAAGTATGGCAATCCGGAGGCTCCAGGTTCCAAACCATTTCAATTCAATTTCTCTCCTTCTACCCTTTATTGACTTGAACGAAACAAAAACCTTTCTTCGTTTTTTGATGTTTCAGGAATCCACGTTTCTGTATGATGAGAACCCGGCGGCCGTTGTGTCCAAGGAAATCAACCATGACGTGCTGTACAGGGAAGGCCGGACCATGACGGTAGGAAAAGGCTTGGGAATTTGAGAGTTTGAGCCTTGCTTACATTCCATGCTCACTGAATAGACATAACCAGAAGATGATTTATGCGCCTACTCATTGTATGACGCACCTCATAACCCCTAGGAATGGTGTGTCACTGACGCATCAAATTGATAGTTTTGAAGCTATTTGGTAATTTTATACCGCCTTTCACAGATTGTGACACACCTACTGAGGAAAAGTGACGCACCAGACAAATTGTTTGACACACCAAATCATGACTTGACGCACCCCAGTGTGTCACAGCCATGAAGAACATGACGCGCTCTTGACGCACCATGCTGGGGGTCATTGGGTCCCTCTTTCAATTGACACATGCATACGGTGTACATGTGTAAGGATTGCACGATAACATCAATGTCACAGTCGAGTACTTTCTAAGTAATATCTGCACTTACATGTACATTCAGTCGTGTTTTACTATACTCTCGAGGACAATGCTTTGTCTTTTCCTTTGTCCCTGTAATATAACACTCTGCCATAGACTAAGCACACAAACGCACGACTGAGGACCGATTTCAACAAAAGATGAACTCTCGAGGACACAAAGAATCTGTTGTTCTCCCTTTGTCCGTCTGTCCTCGGGGTGTATAGTTCACGTACATGTATTTCGGTATAATATTGGTGAAATCAAGCCTTTGAAAGTAGATGGTTGAGTGTTTGTGAAAAACTGGTGTGCTGAGAATCGGCAAAAAGACTTGAATATGAGTCCGAAATCTGAGCCTTAACTCATTATTTGCATACCAGTTCCAGTAGTTTGATATTGGTTTTTGCCCTTCGCCGACCCATTTTATATACTCATTTAGTCTGGGAGCCCAGGGAGGTTTAATCATAATTTCGAGTGTAAAGATTTGAAGCGTGGGATATGTAGGAGTGACTGAGACAACTGCAAAATGGGATTTCTTAAGTTTGGCCAGTGGTGCGTTGGGAGGGTGATCCCCCTTATAGTCCCCCCCCCCCCAAAAAAAAATTCAATTTAATCATAATGTTGAGTGCAAACCAAATCTCTTCATGGATCGAAAATTTATCATGTACTGAATAGGATTTGCATACTTAGGGAGCGTCTCATAAGTTGGAACGCTCGGAACGTTCTCATTGGAACGGCGTGTTCCCGAACTGGAACGCTCCGGCGTTCCACTGGGAACACGGGACCGTCCCGTTGGAACGGCAAAATCCCTTTGCGAGAACGGTCCAGCGGAATGGTCGGGCACACGCGTTCTTTTGCACATTCCAGCGGAACGTTCCCAGCAAATCGCGTATACCATGGCCCAGTTTCGAATATTTGCCCATTTGGCATCAGGAAAAATGGCGTCGCGATCTCCGGCAAACCGTGCGTCACTGAACGGTAGGTTTTGCCTGTTTTTGAGGATTTATATGTAATATTTGGACGTGATTGTGAAATTTCTGTGATGGTTTGGGTAAAAAGTTCGACACAAGGTACGAGTGAGCGTTAATGCGGATGGAATCTTGGTAAATCTAATGATGTAAAAATCGTTTCTGTGGTGAAATGTCGGTAGCCCCGAACCTACCATCACAAGTAATCGCTACGCTGTGGTGAGTGTGTATTCACGTCAAAGTATGCTTGCGCAAGAACAATATTTCTTTAAATAATACTTTGATAATGCGTACTAGATTAAGTGAATCTCCTCAAAAAGTCGTAGATAGAGGAGGGGTGAGGGGATTTCGAAATATATTAAATGAATTTCTGTTTAATATTATAATCGATTACGAAACGCAGTGGCTATTGTTACGGCAGATGTGAAGTTCTTCGGTGAAATTTCGCCCTGAACGTTTACATGGCTACGGTGATTGTGTTTTCTCGTTTACAATTGATACAGGGCGCATGTTTGTAAAATGCATGCAAGGACAAAAATTGTCTTGGACACTACGTGATAGGTTTACTGAAATTACCCAACAAAAATAGCGTAGAAGGAGTGAGGGATTTCGAATTAAAAACAAATCATTTCCAAACAAGAATTATAGTCTTCATCTCGAAAACAGCCCAGCTGATAAAATGTACTTGAGGGCCTGAATGTTTTGGCATGGTACTATGCTATGCTTTTACGAAATAAAAAAAAAGGATAAAAGCGGAGCTTACTATTGACGATATAATTTTTGTCAGACAAAAATCTGCGTTTGAGCACAAACTCTGACTCCGGGTCCTGCTGCACAAACGTACTCACGTACGTATACCCAAGCGCGAATACCCATCCGTGGAGCGTTCCGCCGGGAACTCGGTGTTCCCTCCCCGTTCCAGCTGGACCGCAGATCGGTGCTTTCCATTCATTGCGCGGAACGCACCCGCGTTCCATTGGGAACGCGGCACGTTCCCATTGGAACGCCTGGCGTTCCTACGGAACGTTCCATTGGACCGCGAACGTTCCCGACTTATGAGACGCTCCCTTAAGAAACAATATAATCGTTGCTAAGTCCAATTGTTGCCCAAGGGCTTGCAAGGAAAATAAATTCACAAGCTTACTCGGGTGGGATTCAAACCCGTGACTTCTGCTTACTAGTACAGATGTCTGACCACTTGACCACTCAGCTTGCCGGGGTCAGCTGGCCAGTTTGTGTCTGCCCAGCGGTACCACAACCAGACTTCAGTAGTTGTTCTACAGATATTGGATTTACATGCAGCAGTCCTTATGAAATGCTTGAAGCAGGGTCTCAAGAATACATGTATTATACTTGTTTTATCTTTATCTTTTCTTTTCTTTTCAACAATTGCTGCTATTGTTTTTTTTCCCCCAGGGTGCTGTGACCTACACCCCCAGACTTGTGACCCTTGACCTTAAAGGTAGCCTGAACACGTTAAAAGCTGAGGGAGTGCTGTATGACTATCAAACAAAGGAAGATATCAAGTGGTAAGTTTGCTTGTCTCAATTCGCTTTTTTATCCCCCTGGCTTTCAGGGGGATGTTGCGATCGCGTATTCCTTCTGTGTGTCGGTGTGTGTGTATGTGTGAACGTATAAACACTGCTTTATGGGGTACCGGAACAAAGGGAGGTACCCCACAAGGAATGCCCACCGACTTGCTGGTTACCGTTTTGGTACCCCACAAGTTTTTCATGAAATAGATATATGGATTTTACTCAAAAACTAGGAATTTCCAGGGTGGGTTGATCTGTCGCAAATGGAAGAGTTTTAGAAAGGGGATATTAAGTCCGAATTTCAGCCCAGGAAATTAATTCTGGTTAAAATAAGAGCATTTTGGAGTTAGTGTGCGACATTGCAAAATTTTAGTACACGAGAACAAAGGAAGTACCCCACTTCTATGCCTGTGTAAGCGCATGTGCGGGTGTGTGTGTGTTCCATTTCACTGTACAGTTCAGTCAACAATCTCAACCAAACTTGAAAGGTGGTCTGTGGAGAGAAGGCCAACGACGTCAAAAAAATCCTTTCCAATATGGATATTTACGAGGTCTCTGGATAGATACTAATGACTCTAACATATGTTAGTCCGGTGTCTCACCCAAACTCTCCATTCAACCCAAACTCCCCTTCAACTGAGAAGTGGTACCTGTCGGGTGGACAATCAAGGCCGTCCCTAAAAATTACTAACTGCCTGTGCATGTACATGTATACAAACTGGCAGGATGCCAGAGGGATCGCGCAAGTTTTACTTGCAGTATTTTATATATTTTTTTAAATTTACCTCAATAACGTTTTCATTCATTTCGCATTGTCAACTTTAGAGTTTCATATTTTGGGGGGTTGGTTTCCGTTAGCATTTTTTTTTTTCTTGGACATGTTGGAAGGTAGAGTTATGATCACACCATTTCCATGACATTTCAAAGTTAATAGTTTTCTCCTTGTCAATAATATTTTGCATTCCTTTCATTTATTTTTTCTCCATGTTTCAGTTTCATTTTTGTTCAGAAAACAGAGGTTCCATTAAATACTCTCTGTTTCTTTTTCAGGGAGGGAGATGTTACCCTTCATGAAGAAAAAGCACCACCGAAAAACGAATTCCTCTCCGATCTTGATGCGCAGGATGTGAGTTATGCATATGACTTTTGAACAAAAAGTGTAATTTTCCAGAATTTGTAGCAATAACCTGTCACCACAATTGGCATGAAACAATTACCACAATCAGCAAGTAAAAGCTAGTAGTATCTGTTAAATGTATTAGTGTTTACAATACATGTAGGGGTAGTATTCGCTTGACAGTGTTGTACTTGCATTATTTCTGTATGAAATACAAATTACAAAATAATAATAATATCGGAGTCTTATAAAGCGCACTTACCTACCAACTATTAGGTACTCAAGGCGCTGGAAATATGTCTATAATAAAAGAAAGGTCAATAAAGTTGATGAGAGATATGAGACCCATTATGTAGCACCTTATAAGAGTGTACAAGGTGCTGCGGCGCATATTGCAGCCACTGCCAGAAACACTGGGGCAATACCCTTCTCTTAGCGATAAGTGTTACTGGGTTCTTAAACGTGCATTACACAACACACGGGACCTACGGCTTTACGTCCCATCCGAAGGACGAAGCAATAATGGTAAAGTGCCTTGCTCAAGAGCACAAGCACCATGTTCCCACGGTCAGAATTCGAACCCATGTACCGCGGCACATGAGTCAAACACCGTAACCATTGGACCACAGCACCCCACTAATAACATGCCTGCCAACTTTTCCGGATTTGGCATAATCATAACGATAATACAAGCTGTATTCTGAATTACGAATTTCCTCAAAATCGTTTACATTGTCAATTAAATACCACGAGTTTATGAACCAAAACGCTGACAAATCGGTTAGATATAAGCCGTGTCCAAATTATCGGCTACGGCTTGAATTGCACACGAGTCTTATGGGACATGGCTGTAGTGGCTACCAATATCAAGTCGTAGCCAAGTAATTCTGACATCGATGTAACCGCTGGGCACCAGCCAGTTAGTATAATACGTGTGCGCAAACAACTTGGAACCAGCTAGTGTGTCATACACTCGCTTTTGAAGATGGCCCCCAAAAGATTGCCATGTGAGTCCAAAGTTTTCATCATGTTTGTAGTATTTACGAAACATTTTTCGAACTTTATTTGACATCATCATGACTTCCAAGACAACAAAAAAGGGACAATTCTTAGTGGAGTTTGAGCTGGTACATACACTGTTAATGTATGCACAGTTGAAAATGACCGCAGGGATTGATTACTAATTTGGATTTTGAAAAAAAAGTTGGCAGCTATGGTTGTTGGTCATTTTTCTGTGGTAGCCTGGAGAGCTAGCTACATGTCATCATGGCTTGGCTTCGCGAAGGAAGATTTATGAAGGTTGTCCACGTCGAATGCAGGCATGCTGATGGATTAGGAGACCTAAAATGATTGGTTACAAAAAGATATGGTTCATAGTTTTAAAGATATATATTGCTATTATCTACACCAGATGCTGTTGGATGACACCCAGCAAAGACCAAAGAAAACAGACGACCAGTCGACCCCCGAGACAGACACCATGGAGGTGCAGGGTCCGCCCCCGGAAGGTCAAAGTTCACCAGGTCAGCCCATGACGGCCAAACCGGCCAAGGTGTACCGTCTGGATGAGAGCATTGACGTGTGGTCGGACTTCCTACATGGGCATCTGCACCCTAAGACTGTCACAGTGATCAAGGAGCATGCCCATGGCAGGTACGTTGGGACACTAGATTCCCCCTTCTCACTGATCTTCATGTTAGAAAACCGGATTGCTCAGTGGCCGTTGGCGTTGGGCACTGTTCAAGCCACACCAGGGGTGTGAAATCTCAGCTTTAAAGCTGATTTCACCTTTTTTTTATTTTGGATTTTAGCTTTTCCCTCACTTGCTTTGTACAAAAGTATAGGAGATTTCCAAAGTTCAGCTTTTTTACACCTTTTTTCAGCTGTCTTCAGCTATTTTTATCAGTGGTCGGTCACACCCCTGCTACTCGCTGGTTACCAATCCCTCTATTTGAAGATGAAGGGGAACCAGTTTATACCACACTTGTCACATTATAAGGCCGAATTGTTTTCGTTTTGCTGAAAGAACGCACACCTTTTTTGTGATCCGTGGACAGAACCATAAAACGGTGGTTGTGTTTACAAATTCCGTAACTTGAAAAGTACATGCGTGATTTGAATGGTTTTTGTACTAAAAGAAAGCTAATGAAATTGGCTTTCATATCCTAGATTTTCAATGTGCTACATGCAGAACTTCAATAGAACAGTAGCCCCGACATCTGGGTTTCGGTTTTTTTTACTCACCCTGTATAATGAAACACACATGTACCGGCAGGGCATTATTTTGATGCAAATGTTTGAGTGGTTTTAAGGGTTATGAAGCAGAGAGAAAGGGTTCAGGATTTTTTAAGGACCGAGGAATGTTCCTTGTAACAGGGCATCTAAGGGCTGAGTACACACCTGTATCTGTTGGCTTGTCCTGAGTAGTAGAGCATTCATACTCTACTTGTCGTATTACCTTTTGCCCTGTTTGTTGCAGTGAGATTGACCCTTTTGGGCTCTTCACCAAAGGACGTAGTCTCCTGACCAAGAAGGACGTTGCAGAAGACATCGAAAACAGACTGCATTTCTTTGTCGAAGAATGCGATCACCTCCAGGTATACATTTCACATTAAAAATATTAACCCTAACTCCCTAGGCCTTTTTGGTAGGATGTAGCCTCAATCCAATTGGCCTCATGGAAAAAAAGCATATAGCCTCAATCTTGTAAAAAATTCCTCCATTATTTCTTGAATATGGCCCTTGGAGGGGTGACCACTGCCTGAATCCAGCAAAATCCTGCGGCAGTGACTGTCAATATGTTGAGGCTTGGCCAGTGACATCCTGGAGCAGTATGGAGGATTTCAAGTATAATCCAGGCCTTTATTTGTGCATGGCCGAGCAAAAACAGCACAACGTCCGGCCCAAGACCTTAACAAAGTGCATCCTACGAAATCAGTAACGCACTTTTGCCATGTAACCTCATTCCTCCAAATTCCTCCACTTTGGCAAAGAGGATTTTGAAGGATTCAGGGCTGTTAGGGTTAAAGGGGCAGGTTCGGCTGGAATGTGCTATTTTGGGCTCAATTAATAAAACAAAAAAAAGGATAAAATCTTTAATTTCTCCATGTTATTTTTTTATTGCACTCTGTTTCACGCAGGGGTTTCAGGTGTTAGTGGACTTCTATGATGGTTTTGGTGGTCTGGGATCCAGCCTCGTGGAGAGCCTAGCTGATGAGTACAGAGGCAAGGGTATCATGGCCATTGGAGTGGCACCAGCAGTTTTTACAACCAATGTAAGAATGAATGTGTCTCCTCTCGCCTTTCACCTTACAACTTAATGTTGTTTATCTGAATGATTGCATTCATTCAAACCTCAAAATAGTTTTTAAGAAATTTCTTCTTTACTACTTAATGTGTGCATAGTAAGTTAATGTGTGCTAGTCTAGCAAAAATACTAGTGGTCTAGTAACACTTGTGTAGCATAACCATGATACAAATATGCTGTGGTACGGTGTCGCGATACTAAAATCTGTATTGCTGTTCTTAGCTAGATGAATGAACTTAGCTGAAAGACGGACTAATTCAGTAATCGGAAGCTGATGTTGAATCAGCTTCTGACCCAGGAGTAAATGGGTACATGTGAGGGCAGAGATGGCTATTGTGGTTGATTTTAGCTGATTTGCCCCGAAATGGCAGCATTGAGCTGTATACTCCCCAGGGAGCTGAGATGGTGTTTGGAATGTTTCATTGGCCCAACAAGCAGGGTAATAATGATGTAGCGCCTTGAGCACCAAAGCTAGTGGATACGTGCGCTGTATAAAAACACATTACTAATGGATTTTTGCATGAAATTCAAGCGCTGAATCTATTGGGTCTTTTCCACAGACCCACACAGCGGACAACCACCGTTTGATCAACTCGGTCCTGGCCTTCCAGCGACTGAGCGAGCAGAGTTCCATCCTCCTGCCCCTGTCTCTTGCCTCCTCACTCTGGAGGAAAGTAGGCATGCCAGCCAAGTTCCAGAATGTCCACTACAAGGTAGGAATCTCAAGATTGTATTCAAGCTAACGTTTATATTGTATCAGTGTATGGACCTTAGAGCATTTAATTACAGTGAAATCTTGATAAGTCAACCCTCAAGGGAACAGGTTCAGAATTTTACTTAAGCAGAGTTTTGAGTTAAGCAGGGTCGTATATCACTGTTATACTACTGAAGGGAATGGATTCTTTGTTTGTAGTTGTTTTGGGCTTTCAGAGTTTGACTTTTCGAGATTTCACTGTACTACAGAGCTAACTCGCCAAATGCAATGATCCATGCTGAATGCATCCATGTTTGTGCACTATGGAAAGCTTGAAATTTCGTACAGCTATTCGTACATCTGCATTGGTATACAAAACCAAAGCATTAACCCTCCTGCTGTCTGAACAGTCACAGACAGTCCAAAAAAATCAATCCACTTCATAGTCACCAACAGTCAGATCATATTTCAAGCAGGCACTGTGACTAGTCAAATTCCGTCAACAGACAAAAGCAGGCAAGTGGTAGGCACAGCTGGCTTGTCAATCACCTACAGGCAAAACGTAGCTGATCAAGTTACATAAGCAGTCACAGCCAGGGAAAGTGAATGTGATATATCACTAGTATGTGACGTCTATTGCGAAGAATTCAATTACAGACCAAACTAAGGTACACCACAATTTTAACTACTTTGTACATGTTCATCACGTGGTTGGACGTACATGTATGTTGGATGTTAAAGAATTGCCCATAGCTCAGAAGTGAGGGACACCCCAATGTAAATGTATGGTGCCAATATTTAGCAGTGATTTTCACATGTTCATATCTACAGACCACAGCGAGCTCCACTTGCACTGAAATAATAAGCCAAAATTTCATAGGCATCATTCAAATTCAGCATTAAAAGTGAATATTCATCATTAACACTGAATATTCATCATTAAAACTGAATATTCATCATTAAAACTGAAAATTCATCATTATAAACTAAATCTTCATTACCAAAACCAAATGTTCATTGAAGAAACTGAATATCATCATTGAAACTGAAACGTGCTAATCTTTCTTGAAATTGAGCATTATCTGAATATTCATGACTGTGTCTTTTCAGCCTTCTCTTGCCTACCACACCAGTGCAATCCTAGCCAGTAGCCTGGACACAGCCACCTTGCCCTACAGAGTAGCCGATGATCCCATCTCACTCTCCGTCCTGACTGAGGCCCTGGCAAACCTGGGCAGGAAGGTAATAATGGCTGTTTAAGAAGATATGGGGTTGTAAAATTTAGAATTAGAAAAATTGCAGAGGAAAATGGTATAGTAATGGTCTTTTGGTGTTGACTGAGTTTGACTACCTCTTTCCACTTTGCAGACCAGTAATTTTGCAGTACGTCCCCTCAAACCATGTTGAAATTGTATGCTACCTCTCTGTGTATTGTAACCCTCTTTGATTCTCCAAATTCCATCAGGAGGCTTTGGAAGGTTTAGGGGAATTTCGGAAGGCAGAGCCAACCCACAAAATTTTCGTCTGGCTTGATGACCTTTTTATTGCACATTGGCAGATTTTGGAAGATTAAGAAAGGTTCCTTGCAGAAACACCTCAGGAGTTACGAGTTAAAAACGTATGTTTTGTTTTGTTCTTGCCAGGTTTCAATGCTGTCGACGTCATTTCCTCTACCGTTCCCCGACCACGGTTACCTAGCCGGCGTGTTGGGCAGCTACACCCAGAACCCACCCTGGACAACTCTGATGCCCCACACCCGCAAAGGCGCCAACGTCCAACCATTTGCCCAGTCGGTGGTTCTGCGGGGCGTGCCCATGGACAGGATATACACGTGAGTGTACCATGAACTTTGTTTGTATCAGCGTCGCCTCAGAACTAGTTTGTCAACTTCCAGTACCTCGGGGAGCTAATATCGACTATCCACCCTCAAACCATGTTATATTTGTGTACTGTTTCCCTCTCTTTTGAACATTTAAGTAAATTATGTCTTGAGCAAATTTAGATATCAAGCTATCCTTTTTCTCGGCATGATTTGACTTAGAATAGTTGTATTCCCCAGGAAGGTGATATTGGTCCATTGCGGGTCATTCTCTAATGAATTTTGTTATACACATTTAGACTCCTGGTCAGGTAGGAGTAAAGTGGCTTGCCCAAAGACACAACTCATGACCAACAGCCGTATTCAAATTCAATACCCTGTGATTATTCGCCACTAACCTATTTGACTTGCAGAGACTGTTGAGGCTCATTATTATTATTATTCATGTGGGTTTTTTTGTGGGGGGAGGGGTTGTATGGGGTTAAGGGGCATTAAAACAATTTGCTTCAAGGACAGCCCGCTTGCATCCCAGAGTATTGTAGCTTTGTGGAGCGCTGTGGTCCAATGGTTACGGTGTTCGGCTCACTTGCCGCGGTACGTGGGTTCGAACCCGGACGGGGAACATGGTGCTTGTGTTCTTGGGCAAGACACTTTACTACAATTGCCTCTCTCATCCAGGAGGATAAATGGGTACCTGTGAAGGTAGAGACCAGATTGCGCTGATCTTGAGCTGCTGCAAAAACTGGTCTCATGGCCTGATGAACAGGGGTAATAATTGTGAAGCGCTTTGAGACCTTTGGTATAAAGCGCTATATAAGCACTATATTATTATTATTATTATTATTAGCTTTCTCTTGTTTTGTTCGTAGACCCGGTAGACAACCCCAGAATGCACTTGAATCGTGCCGCTCAGTCAACGAGATGCTGAAATGCTACCTGACAGGAATGTACACAAGAACTCTGAGGTAGGTGGAAAAAACCAGTGATTCACACTCTGTACTTGTCAGAATCCTCCCTCTACGTCTCTCTCTCTTCCAACTTCCCAGAATTAATGACTAGCCATGGAATTAAGTATCAGGAAGTAAGTATTTGGGTTTTTAACCCTCCACCGATGTCATTTTTTTTTAATATACGATGTATTTCCCATGCTGTGTGAAAGCTTGTGAGTGAAAAAGTATCCATCGAACCCATGATCTCGGCTGCTAGAATGTGCTGCAACAATTTCACCAGAAACTCCAGTGTTACTGCCATGCTACATGAGCTTGGATGGCCCCTCCACGGTCCCGAAGACTGGCGACACGTCTCACCATGCTCTACAAAATTGTTCATGGGTTGGTTGATATTGAAGCTGGGCATAGTCGCACCTCACAAACAAGAACACACAGGAGGTCTCACCAATTCTCATACCACCGACTTCATGCCAAAAGCAAGATCTACAGCACCAGTTTTTATCCATCCACAATCCCACACTGGAATAACCTGCCTCCCAACGTCATCAATGCTAAAAGTTTGGATCAATTCAAAAATGCCCTCACTGATCCCTCGTGCAACATCAACGCCCTCCCTTTAGTTAGCCCCTCTAGCCCCGCGCCACGCCAACTCTAGCGGGATGCGGCTGTAGCCGTTTTGCTGGAGGAACACAGATGCAGATCTCCTGTTCACTAGTGCCAATGTTTTAATTATCCAACCTCTGAGCTTGCTGGAGCGGCTGGCTGGTTTGAATTTGATATAGCAGCAGGTGCCATCATCAGTAACTGTGGATGTAATTTTTGCATCAGGGTAATGTAAAAGTAACCCTAATACCTTGCCAAACACAGCGCAGCACAACAAGCGTAAAAGTCTTTTGAGCCTTGCTGCATTGACCCACCAACACCAGTGCATAGACTGCCAATTCTGAGACATTAGAAGCAAACCCCATTGACCCGTGCCACTGTTTGTATCTGGCTGCAGTTGGTGACCACAGACTTTGAGGCAGTAAATTTGGCCTTCAGATGTTTGACCTGAAATATGAAACAAAGGGCAGCATGTTGTACATTTAGCAGTATTTTTACCCAAAATACTTTCCAGGGTAAGGATTAGTATTTGCCTCAAGTGGAGACAGACATTTTTATATCACTGACATACAGATCCTTGTCATTTGATTGGTGGAACTCACATCACGTGACATTCGTTATTACTCCCATTCACGCCGGGGCTCAAAAAGTCCCATTCGCCCATTGTGAATGGGAAATACTATTCAACAGTTATGATAATACTTGTTCCATGACGCGGTATTTGTGTGCAAATGCATGCTGGTGTGCGCATTCAGCGTTGCGTGTGGCGCGAATTGTTCCGAAGAGCCAGCGCTACAGAGTTGGCTTCAAACATTTTCGTGAAGGGGTGGTTTGGAAGAGAGAAACACATTTTCCACCAATTTTATGATGAAATAAAGGTTAAATATATCAAATGACAAGGATATGTATGTCACTTATATAAAACAAATATTGAGTGGCTTTAAATTGTGAAATGGGAGGAATATTATCGCTGGGTAAAATCTGGACTTTTTCCAGTTCACTCGGCTTCACCTCGTGAAATGGATAAGTCCAGATTTTACCTTGCGATAATATTCCTCCCATTTCACTCCGTGCCACTCAATATTTGTATACCATTTTCTAATCAAACTTTATGCCTCTTCATGATTGATTGTAATTTGATTGCAGCTCGGGACTTTGTGTCAACCAGCCGTTGAAGACCGCTGCCCCGTTCCCTCACATCTTTGACCCTCGGATGAGCAGAGAGGGTTTCCTCCAGGACTGGCAACGCAGGGAGGAGGAAGGTTAGTGTGAACACAAAACTATTCCTTGTATCATCAATTAAACCACTAAAGCCTTTCACAATATATTGTAAAGGGCACACAGAGAATTGTATTCAGCTTAACCAATGATCAGTGAACATGTATATTCTGTGCCTACTTGTCGTCAAACATTTCTGAACCTTTATTCCATGTTTGTCCAAACTGAAAAGGTTTGGTCAGTAAAATTATGCACTGTAAGGACATTCTTCTAAGATAATGAAAGAATTCAACCTTCTTAATGTGACAAATCAAAAATGACTCTGCTTGTATTATGTGTCCATTTCATTGCCTGTTCTGACGTATGGCCTTGGGCAAGTCTATCCCCGTCGCCCCTCACCCCCCCCCCCACCCCCCCCCCCCCCCACCCACCCCCCCCCCCCCCCCCCCCCCCCCCCCCCACCCAAATCTCTAAACTGGAATAAAAGAGTAATGAATCAGTCTTAACGGCCGTTTCAAACCTTGCAGAGTCATGACCTTGATGACGCGCAGGTAACTGGTCACGCAAAATCCAACCAATCAGAGCGTGAATTCAGAGTATCCAGCGTCCTGTTTGCAGGGCGGGGGTACGAGCGAATTGTCAGCAGTGCATTCTGTTGTCTCCCCCAACTCTCCCTTTCTTACCATTGAGGGGGTACTTGTGCACGGAGCCCATAGTGACTCAAAAGAGACTTTGCTTTTCATTAACCATGCTAACATGAAGTGTATTTTCCAAACTTCTTCAAACCCCCAGTGGTGGAGAGCCTGCCTATGATGACATCGCTCCAGACCTCCCCGTCCGCTCAAGAGATGCTCTCCCACCTGGTCAAGGAGGCCGGCAAGCTGGACATCCGCAAATGCCACGGCTTCCTGGAAGATGGTCTGGAACAGGACGAGTACAGTGAGGCCCTCAGCAGCCTGGAGGGCTTGGCTCACTGCTACGAGCAGTGTGCTTAAAGCTCTACGTGTACGGCATTGGGAGTTCAGGTACCAGACTTGTGAGACCTTTTCCAGAACTGGGAGAGTTTTCCCGACCTTAATTGGCTACTTCTTCATCTATGGTTTTTGTCTCTGGATCCAGAATAACTTTTGTAGCTCTTAATGTCAAAATCACATCGAAGTACTCTTCCTTCTTTTCTGATAGAATTATAAACAGCGTCAAAATTTCAAAACGTATTTTATTGAAAATATAGTTTATTTCTAACAGGGTTGAACAGTTTGGCTGTTACTTGCAACTGGGATACGAATCAGTCACGTTAGTGGTTAAACCCCCCAAAAAATCAATTTGTCTGAGCCCATTTCCACTAAACAGCTTTGATGACTCCTGTTTGGTTTTGGGATTAAATGTCACTAAAATGATTCTGGACCAGGGACAAAAGTTGGAGCCATAGATGAAACCCTCCTAAATACTAGACACAGCCGATCAAGTCTTTAAGATCCCAGGTCACATTTGGCATTTGAGTCACAAATTATGACCCACATGTTCAAAGTCCTAGTCCATGTTAAACTCATCGTTTGCTTTTGGTTGAACAAGGTTTCTATGTTTCAGTGTATATAGTTATATGTTGTGGAGACCTTCACCATTATTTACAGTGGCATTCCATTACTTGATAGGGTTTCAACAGATAGAAGGATCATTGTGTTTTTGTCAACGGTCACAATCACCCAGTGTACATCTGGGATATTGTGTGGAGTTAAGCCTGAATGATAAGCCAGTAGGGTCCAAGTAGTCTGGCTTATAGGCCATCAGCTTGGGGGTTTGGTCAGTATCAGATCAGCACCCGATTTCATCAAACTCTTCGTAACTTACGATGCATCGCAGCGATGCGATGCGTCGAATCCTGCGATCCATTTCACAAAACACATCGTAAGTGCGACGCGTCGTAGGTGTATTTATAGCACAACTCGGTGACTGTTTTATGTATTTAGTCAGCGTACAGTAAATAGTCGTCTGATATTCAACAAAGAGTCGTCGGATCTCAGCTCGAAATTTGTTAAAACGTAAAACAAAATGGCGGCCATGCGATGCAATTTTGAAGGAAAACAAACTCTCATTGGACTGTATAGCTACTTTGAAATTTCAATTCTAATATTCCGGTCTAATTCATAATTATTCAATGAATTTTCTATTTACAACACACATTGCCTCGGTATTATAATCTTGTTAATGTAATGTTTATGGCATAAAACTGGCTTAGAAATGACTCTTCTTATTTTGCGACGACCACTAGACACGTCTTAACTTGCGACATGTTTTAGGCCGTTGTCAAGGAACTTACGACGCGTTCAACACATCGCAACTTTCGTGAAATGGAAGATACGACGCGTCGCGAGTTGCGACATGTTACACGTCGTAACTCGAGTTGCGACACGTCGCAGCGCTTCGTGAAATCGGGTGCAGGGCATAAATGATTATAGTGCGCATGCGCATGGTATACCGCCCCTAGAGTGGTAACAAGCATTTTGATGGCCATTTTGAAAAAAAGAGTGATAACACCTAAAAAGCTGCCACCGCTGCAATGCTATCACATATTTTCCAACTCTGGAGGTGTATACCTTGCCAAAAATCGCTATGACGATTATTCCCCTCATTTGATACCGGTTGCCTAAATTTTGGACCGAGGCTGATGGCCTATTATAGAATCTGAGACGGTAGTTGAATTATTAGACAAGTTAAGTTACATGTTTTCTCAAGGACCTGTGCTGTGTTACAGATAGGCGTGTGAACGCATGTCACACAATCATTCTTTTGCAACACACATGCCACTGCTTGCTTGCCGTACAGATCTACCAAACAAGTGATTTCAGCATTTCTCACTACATGAAGACAGGGAGGACAAATGCGCTTCATTTCTTACGCCAGGCATGAGATTTTTTTCAGACTTTTGTCTAAATTCGTACTTATTGAATCTGAGAGAAAGACTGTATAGAAAGAAATGCATCTTTTAGAAATTTCTTCCAATTTTCAGACTTTTTTGGAAATTGGCTATCTCAATCCATGTTACGCATGCCGAACGATTGATAACGATGTTTTACATGTGTCAGAGGTCACATAATCAACTATTATTACCTGTCCTCATGTAACAAGGTCAGGTCTCCAGTCTAAAGGAAGTTTTTGAAACCTCGGTTTGTCTCTGGCTTTGGCTGTGCATCAGGCTTCAGAATCTCACGAATCTTAAAAATACAGTACAGGAAGCGAAACCAGTGCACCGGTATCTTCTTACTCATTGGTGGTCACTAACCACTATCTTTAATTCTGTACATTCAGTGCAGCAGCAAACATTTAGCAAATCGACAATCATCGTTGTGCAAATCTGGTTTTAAAAATTTTCAGCAGCTCTGTAGCTTGCTTTCCTGATGTGTAGCGCGGTCTCTTGTTTCGTAAACGAACCATGACATGTCTCAAGAGGGCACTCTAGCCCTTCAGGTAACTTTCCCTTAGCTGTTTGTTTCAAATCTATTGGTGGTTTTGTCTAATTGTGCAATATTATATATAAACCTATGTAGTTGCTTATTTTCAGTGAATTACATTTAACGTGTATAACTGATTAAATATTTGTGTATAACCAAAAGAATGGTATTGATACAGTTTTGAAGAGCTTGAATTTTATCTGTACATGGACGTTCACTTTACCTTTTTTGGGGAGTAGGTACGAGTGGGGGGAAATTCATGTCCGTTTTTTTTTCTCTCTGCTTTGGAATGGTTGTCATCTTAGTTTTTCCTCACTGGAGGGTTTGTAATAAAGACGAACAAAATGATAATTTGGAGTCATTAGAATGTACTGTTTCAATTTTGGTTAAAAGTTATGCCATGATGAATGACCAAAACTATTAAACTGCTGTGATGTGAAATTGTGGCTTGTTATATAGAGACATTTAATCGTAATTGACTGAAAAGAGACTGTTCAGAAAACAGCAGTTGAAATCGAATGAATCTAGGACCAAGTTTTGCTTAGTAGCTTAAAGACAACTGTTTGATGTGTGACACTGCTTCTACGTGTATGTATAGTAGTCAGTCGTGTGTTGTCTCAGTTGACCGGAGACATGCTAGATTTTGTATTGCTTCGCAGATATAGTTCTGTGATAAAGTTTGGATACTTTAGCTCCCTCCCCAAAATTACCCTCCCTCACCCCAACCCCTACCTCCCCTCCTTAAAAAAATATACCCACATTTTCAACCAAAACTTGTTAAAACTGTGTGTGTTTAGTCAGTGTGTTTCTCCAAAATACCCAAAATTCCTTGTTTCTCGAAAAATGTCCAATCTTTCTTTCAGAAAATTAAAACCTCAAACAGCCATATTTTAAACACTTGTACCCTACCAAAATAAATAAAGCCTACATTATTGTGTGCTGCATCCCGTTGGCTGTCCCTCGACGTCGAGGAAGACTAATTTCCAGATACCAGCTTGTATACTGCATTATGGACAATCAAATTAAAGTACGTTGCTTTCACTTTTGCAAATTTACAAATACACCGTCTTCAAGCTTTTTGGCATTGTTTCATGAAATGAGTGTCCATATGCTGTGAATTTTTTTCATGTTGTATATTCTCTGCCGATACAATTATTATTATTTTTTTTACATAAACATCTTCTGCAATTTTGAATTTGTTTGACAATCTTCAATTGATTTCCGAATAGTTCACATATCATGATTTCAAATTTGATAAGTGATTTCGAAGGGTTCGGTTTTAATAATTTCAAACAGGTACAGGTGATTATGAACGATTTATTTATTCCTGTAACAATTGTTTTAAAAAGTGTTTAGGCTGTTATTTTTTAGAAAAGTTAGCTTGATTTGCATTTGACCTCTTTAGGTCATAGCACCAAAAAAAACCTGTTGTCTTAACAAATTGAATCTTCACTAATGAGTAGAATTAATTAAGGGTTAGATAATTATTGATTTGTATTGTCATTTAGTGCTTATAGCATTAGTTTTGTGGGGGGGGGGGGGTTCCTGCGGCCTTGTTTAGTCATTCATTGAGAGGAACATGTGAATAAAAGATATGAGTTTTCACTAACAGCTGTTAATGGCAAGCTCACATTTCCATGGAAAGAGTATACAACTGTAGTAATTTGAAGGCTTGAACAAACTTCATGATTGTCTTTTCTTTTTTCTTTTTTATCTCTCATTGGAACAGTTTAACTAAACCCCACATTTAATGACGTAGTTTTCACTTTTCCTTCTGGTACTGTGGCTCATGTCTTTGATGTCTTTTTCTTTAGATATAGAACCATTCTTCGTATGTATGCCATATGTTATGCCCTTACATGGGCGTAGAAAAAATACTGCTGGCAGTTCGGCTTTAATAATAATGTGCATTAAAATTACCACACTGTAGAATTGAGTACCATTCATGACATACATGTATGTGCAACAATAATTGTTCTCACGGTGTTTACATAAGTAAGATTTGTCAACGTTTACATGTTGCCGATGTTGGTTTTATGCTTGTTATAATATAATTGGCTTTTAATTCAGTGCATGTTTTTAATCACATCCTTTGTTTTTTCTCACTGACCAATATACTGTAGTATAATTTATTGGTTGGTGAATTTCATGAAGATATATTGGATAGTGCGTTTATTTTTCCATTAAACCTGCTATGTGCATGTGTATATGTAACTGTACTCTATTTATTCAAAGATGCCAAAGTACTTGTATATATCTCGTTATAATGTGTATCTTGGTATGTACGTGCCTCGTTGCTGAGACTTGTGAAGTACTAATACATTCGTAAAGTCAAAAGCTGTGTTCATCATTATCCTTTTTACAATGAATGTGCATGAATTAGGATAAGAAATTTTGACAAAGCGATCCAGTTTGTGTAATGGTGGCAGCTGTGGTATGTCTGCAAACTCAAAATGTGTCTCAATAGAAGACCCTGGTTTTCGTGGGCTAGATGTATTTCAGTACATGTATTTCCAGTGTCATTGGTGCTATCTTGCGTTAACTGTACTCTTATTGAAAGAAAAGTGTTGACTTGAATGGGTTGTTGCTATTATCGTTTGAAGTGATTTCTAAAATGATTTAAGTTTCGAATGACAGCACAATAAAGTTCTGGTCTTGCTGTGTATTTTTAGCAAGGCCCTCGTTCACGTACATGTTGTGTATTATATGAGCAAGGTGGCAGGTTAATGTTTGCATTGTACTGAAAAAAAAAACATGTAAAAGGTCAACCAAATTAAAAGCTGGTGAATTTCACTGATGAACAAAACCATGACTCGTGTGTCTTATGAATTTGTTAAAATGAGTTACCTTACGTGAAAGA